CTCGTTGATGTTGAAGATTGTGTTCGCTGGATGCCAAAAATCCGGCCAAAAAATAGCTCCAGTTTGCAAGAATTCGGGCGTCTTGAACAGATAGCTTGGATCTCGGACAGGGACATTATCCGCATCCAGGAACAAGACATGTCCGAATTCTGTGTGGATGATTGCATACACCTTCGAGTTGAATCCTGCTACTCTCGCATCCGTAATGGGATGCAACGTCAACGGACCATATTCTTCCTGTAAGTTCTTGGGGATATCGTCTAGCAATGAATTCCCATTGCCTATGTCCATTTCCGACTCGATATACCATAGTTCTACTGGAAGTGTGCAATTAACCGCTCGCAGTGCTCGAATTGACGCGTACGCGCTCACCAGTAGCTTGGGATAAATTACCATCAATATGCCCTCACTCGGATTCATAGGGAGCAAACTATCCTCATTAGCAGCAGTCTTTTTCTCACGTTCAAGTGTTGCCGATACCTTCACCACTTCCCATTGGAAATCCACAAAATCGCCAGCATGGCGACAGCTCAGCGTCACACTGGGGTGCAATGTATCACAAGCTGTGTGCATCACCTGAATCTGCTGCCCTGTATCCTCGTCTTCCATCAAGCAATAACCACCAATTCCGCCCTGGACGAACTGGTCACAACCTCGATTCTTTGTCGGTACTTCCGTCGCCTGCAGGTCGCAACTGTCAGTTTGTTTCCAGCCAACACAGCGCAAGTCCGGCGGTCTATCAGCGTCCAGTAGCTGTTCCATCCACCTCCTATCCACTCCAATACCATCGTGTGTGTTGCCATTTACTGCTCCCTGTCGCCGTCTCAACTGTCGCATCAATTGTGGACTCAAGTGCACGTCGTCGCTATTGCCAGAGTCCGTAGACGAGGACACGAACCAGCCACTCAGGCTCACGCCCCACACCAGGAAGCCCAGAGCATACAGCCCAATGACCGCGAAAAGCGCAAATACGCTCACACGCGGTGCTTTCCGCGGAGAATTTGGCGGTGTTTGTGTTGGTGCGTATCGCTTCACAGCGGGCACGTAAGGCGGGGATGCCATCGTGAAGCCGAAATGCTAAGTGGGCAATGGGCATTCGGACTGTCTCTGACGTGGGAGTGACGTACCGTTCAAATACTTTTGTGGAATTGGTGTTCGTCACATAAAGGCAACTTATTGACCATCACTCTGTGTTGTGATCATTTCGGTGCTCGTTCAAGTTAATTATGGCTTCATTTCTAATGTTATCCACCTGCTCGTTAGAGCCTCCGATGTATTGTGTTCACGATGGAGACGGTAGCGGCATTTGATCCCTCAGAGTCTGACAGGGTGGAATATGAGGGCAGGAAGGCGGCTTTGGCGCTGCAGCGTGCGCTGAGTGGAGCCAGTTCCTGGTTAACTACAGAAGTTCGCGATCAACGCAAGTGTGACCACGCACTGTTGCCTGCTGAGTTGCCTGCCAATATTCGAGAGAAAGTTGCGAGGATTCTGCAGGAACGAGGTGGCAAGGAAAAGATACCCGATGAAGTTGTGGATCCCAAAGCGCCCTGGCATCAGCAACTGGAGCAGCACGTGGCTCGACTGATGCAGCGAATGCGCACACAACCGCTGCAATTCAGGCAATTGTTGCTCACAGCAGCATCGGAACCTAATGCCGATTGTGTTTCGAACACCAGCGTAACAAGCTTCGTGGACGCTCGCAAAGCATATCGTCGTATCCGTCGAGCTGCTGTGGCTCTCGGTGAAGAGACTTTCTACATGGTTCGAGGATTTGTACGACGTAGTGAAGCCAACGGTGTTCTCCCGCAAGATGCACAAGCAGTACGCTTGGCGTCTTTGTATAAACTGGAGCTGCGACGGCACGTTACAATCAGTGCTGTGATGGAATGTATTCAGCAGGCAGACAGCGGGATCCGCGTATCCTCTAACAAGAGTCGCAAGGCTACCAATTCGAGGTTTTCCGTCACTGGAAGCACAAAATATAAGCGATCGTTCCTTCGACGACAGACAAAAAGTGCTCGTGCATCAGGCAGTGGACCTGGCGAACAAGACTCTGCAGTATTCGCTCGAGCAGCTAGCGCTCCTGCTGGTGCAGGCCGTAGTGGTCAAAATACCGATTCCGAGTCGTCGGACAAGGTCAAATCCGTTCATGCCTTCAAGCTGCAGGCACTGGAGCGTCTTCTTGCTAAAAGTTGGCAGGGTAGTAAATCTGGTAGTATTGTATCGCTTCAACCGGTGCCAGTGAGTCCCAGCAGCTTGTCGGATGAAACGCTAGCTCAGATCCAAGAGCGAGTGACAGCATTTCTGTACCACCGGAGTCGTGAGAATTATCCTCTTTGGGATGAACCACCATTATCGAGAGAGGAGACAGCTCGACATTTGCGCACATTGGTATCAACGCTTTTAACAACGCCACTGCTGCAAGGTCTAACCATCGATCAACTTCTAGAGGTTGCAAGAGCTGCAAGGTGGCAAGTATTAGCTGCTGGGGATACGTTATGTGTGCGAAACACAGAGATCGATTCACTTGTCGTTGTTATGGATGGATCTCTTGTTTCAGCTACAGATTCAGAGGCCAACCCAGCTCCAGTTAGCCCTCCTTTAGGCCCTAGCGTGATTTATACAGCCCCTGTATGCCTCGGAGAGTTAGCGATGGTCCGGAATACTGAGCGTTGGCCACGAACGCTCATAGCACAAGAACCAGGTGTAAAGGTCTTGACAATGCCCAGGTTGACTTTCGAGACACTGCTG